TATAGTAGCCTGTGATATATTAAGATACCCACGTGGTTTTCAGACAATGTACAAACAGGCCACTCAGCACATTGTTTTATAATTTTTTGCCAAAAAAAAAAAAAAAACCCTTGATACGGGTTCCAATTTTCCATTTCCAATTGTTTTCCAATTGAATTTTTAATTTCAGTTTTCATCTTTTTTATTGTATTTCTAGAAAATCTATTGGTTCCTTTTCAAGTCTGCTTATCACTGTTTTCATTTCATGTTCCCTGTAGATGTTCTTTTTTTTTAAACTTTGCATATTTGAATCACTTATTTATTTATTTATTTTTATACTTGCCTTGTGGACTTTATTTTTTTTAATTAATTTTTATTGGAGTATAGTTGATTTACAATGTTGTGTTAGTTTCTTCTGTACAGCAAAGTGGATCAGTTATACATATACATATGTCCACTCTATTTTAGATTCTGTTCCCATATAGGCCGTTACAGAGTATTGAGTAGAGTTCCCTGTGCTATACAGCAGGTCCTTATTAGTTATCCATTTTATATATAGTAGTGTTTATATGTCAATCCCAATCACCCAGTTTATCCCCCTCCCTTTCCCCCTTGGTAACCCTAAGTTTGTTTTCTATATCTGTGACTCTATTTCTGTTTTGTAAATAAGTTCATTTGTACCGTTTTTTTTAGTGAGTTACTTAATTTTTTAAAGTGTTTTTTGTTTGTTTGTTTTTAATCTTTTTGGCCACGCCACACGGCTTGCGGGATCTTAGTGAAACCGGGGATTGAACCCGGGCCCTCAGCAGTGAAAGCACTGAGTCCTAACCACTGGACTGCCAGGGAATTCCCCATGTTCCCTGTAGATGTTCTTGACTTTGTAATTAACTTCTTTAAACATGAAAAAATATAGTTGTTTTAAATTTAGTAACTGACCACTCCAATATATGTACTGTGTATATCTGTTTTGCTAGTTCCTGCTCATATTGTCTTGCTTCTTTGTGTGTCTGGTTATCTTTGATTGTGTCCTGCTCAATGCCTGTGACACATTATTTATGGAAGCTCCTTGAGGCCTAAGATGGATATGCCCTCATCCAGAGAGGTTTTCAGTTAGTCCTGCCAGGCACGAGAGGAGACTGCAAAAGTCCTGATATTCATCTCATCCCAGGCTAAATAAACAGCAACTCTTCACCCGGTTACTAGAGTCAGAGACACAAGACTCCTCTCTTTTCCTCACCCCCACTGTAAACACATTAGCAAATCATGTTAGTTCTGTCTCCAAAGTATCCCCAATCCAGTCACTTACCCCCATCTGTGCCTGGTGAAAGCTCTCATCCCCTCTTGCCTGGACCATGGCAAGAGCCCAGCTGGTCTCTCGGCTTCCACTCCTGCCTCTAGTAATCCTTTCTCCACACACTGTCAGAGGGATGGCTTAAACATGTGAATTAAATCATGTCATTCCCCTGCTTACATCTCCTCAATCAATTCCTATTGCATGTGAAATAAAATCTAAGTTTCTTATTGTGGTGTAAGGCCCTGAGTAATCTTTTCCCTCCTCTCCAACCACTCTTCCTCTCGCTGGCCTTGATCCAGCCACACTGATTTCCTTGCTAGTCCTTAAACAGGTCAAAGCCTTTCCCATTTAAATACCTCTACTCTTGCTTTCCTTTGGCCTGGAACATTCTTACTCCTGTTCCTCATCTTTGATGTCTTAGCTCAATGTTACCTTCTAGGAAAGGGCTTCCTGTCACCCCACTCTACGTTAGGACACTGTGAACCAGAGCTGTGGTTCTCTAGCATAGCAGCCTGGCTCTGTCCCTTACTGCACATTCTGTATGCTCCTTTGAGACTTTACTTACTTTTTGTTACATCTCCCCACAACTAGAATGTAAGCTCTGTGAGCCCAGAGATCTTGTCTGTCTTGTTCACTGCTGCATCCCCAGCACCCAGAAAAGTTCCTGGCACATGTAGTTATTGTGAATATTTCCCACATAAAAAAAATAAGGCTGCAGAGCCAGCCCTTGGGGTCAGTCTTTATGACCCCCAAACTTGTGCCCTTTCTCCTACATTCTGCTCCCAGGGCAGAGTCTGGAATCCGTGGGAAGGGAACTGGCTGAGGGTCAGATCTGGCTTCTGCAGCGACTCTGGTAGTGCCATCGGACAAGTCCTTTCCTCCCCGCTGGCCTCAGTTTATCCACCAGTGCTAAGGTATGACGCTCTGAGCCACAGGGACCTTGCCAGTGACAGGAACAGAAGCAGATCCCTCTCTGTCCAGCAGGTAGAGCCACTGGCTCTTTTGAACTTGGCTGCCGGGATCTCTCATCCTGAATGTTGAGATGTCTTCTCATCAAAACGCACACTCTATCACCTACCGCCACCACCAAACACCAGTGACGTGTTCATTTTTGCTCACATTTAAAAATTTTTTTAATGTTCATTTATTTAGTTTTACTTGTAAAAGAAACTTTTTATTTCAGAATATATTTAGATTTACAGAAATGTTATGAAAATACTAGTTTCCATATACTCCACACCTATTATTTACCCTATTATTAACATCATACACTTATATGGTACATTGGTCACATTAATGAACAAATATCGATACACTATTATTAACTAAAGTCCACACTTTATTCAGGTTTCCTTAGTTTTTTATTTTATTTTATTTTTTTGGCCACGCCAGGGATCTTAGTTTCCAGACCAGGGATCAAACCCATGCCCCCTGCAGTGGAAGAACAGAGTCCTAACCACTGGACCGCCAGGGAATTCCTGGGTTCCTTTAGTTTTTAACCTATGTCTATTTTCTATTTCAGGATCCTATCTAGAATACATTACATTTCATCATCATGTTTCCTTAGGCTCCTCTTGGCTGTCACAGCTTCTCAGACTTTCCTTGATTTTGATGACCACCAGGGAGGTTTTAGGTTTTTTTTTTTTCAGTTGATGAACAGTTTTATTAGAAAATGAACAGTTTTTCCCAGTTTTTGAGACATAATTGACATATAACACTGTATAAGTTTAAGGTATATGACATAGTTATTCGATATATGTATATATTTCAAAGTGATTGCCACAGTAAGTTTAGTTAACATACCAGAGGTGGTTTGTAGATGGGACTCCAACATGTGTCTTGAGCTTATGGTCACTTAAGGTTCAAAGCTGAAAGATACAATGCTTGGCCCTCTGGGGAACTTAGGCACAAAATTCTTGTGGTAGAAATTGGTAACTTCCTACTCAGGTCCTTATTAGGCTGATCTTCAGAAGTGGTCCTCTTGATAAAATATTTCTAGTGTGGGCTTCCCTGGTGGCGCAGTGGTTGAGAGTCCGCCTGCCGATGCAGGGGACACGGGTTCATGCCCCGGTCCGGAAAGATCCCACATGCCGCGGAGCGGCTGGGCCCGTGAGCCATGGCCGCTGGGCCTGCGCATCCGGAGCCTGTGCTCCGCAACGGGAGAGGCCACAACAGTGAGAGGCCCGCGTACCACAAAACAACAACAACAACAACAAATATTTCTAGTGTGCCTGCCGTGTGTTTGGCCCTGTGATCGGCACCAGTGGGGGGTGGAGCTGAGACAGGGTCCTTTTGGGGCTTCCAGTCCAGTTCTTTTGTTCAAGTTGGAGAACAGACGCACAGGAAGGCAGAGGGTAACACTGCACCTTCCTGTTTCACCCAAGGATGTATCCAAGGTGGAAAAAAGGTGACAGGTCCCTGGAATATCTTCCTTCCCATAGGACCTCTGAAGGGCACGGCCTCAGAACTGGAGGATTTGGAATGAGAGGAGGTTTAGGGAATTCTCAGTGTTGTGCTCTCAGCTCCTGGAATCCAGCCCCCGTATTTCAGTGGGCTGGGGTGGGGGAGACTGGGGCCTGGAGTTTCCTTCCCCACCTTGAGAAAGAAACTTGTAAGCCTTTGTGGTCACCATGGCTTTCCAATTCAGTTTAATAACTTAAGTCCTTTCTGTGCTCCTCAGCTTATAAGAGGCCCCATCAAGTCCTAGCAGCATCTTTGGGAGGTCAGGGCCGTTTCTTTCAACCCCATTTTACCTGTGAAGAAACTGAGGCTCACGTCCTACTCGGCAGATAGTCAGTGGAGGTGGAATTTGAATCCAGGTCTTTCTGGCTCCTAATTTTCTTTTCTGCCCCCACCATATCCTGTGGTTTTTGGCCCTCAAGCTTAGAGGAAGACAGTGTTTTGGGAAACTTTTTCTCTTGATCCACTAAGTTATATTCTGCTCAGAAGTTTGGGGTCTGCTCTAGTTTGCAGACTGGGAGGGGAGGAGGCCCCTGCTCCAGCCCAAGCCTGCCCTTCTTGGGTAATCTGGCAGAGGAGACAGGCCAGGGCTTGGATGCAGATGACGTGGGTGTATTGCCCACCTGTGGCTCTAACTGTGGGAGTAAAAAAATCACTTTTTACTTGTGATCCTCAGTTTCTCCGTCAATGAAATGGTGCTTATACACCTGTCCAGAGGCTTTATTGCAGTGACTAAGTGATATAAAATTGTTTGTCAGCTGAAAGCCCCATTCAGGGATAAAAGAGGTGGTTATCATTTCCAGTGAGAGATCCAGAACCCTAAATCCAGGGAAGTTGCTTGCCTGTAGGGCCAGGCTGAAGAGAGAAACTCATGTTCTGAAACTCCAAACTCATGTCCAGGAAAATGCCAAGCTGAATCCCCTGCCCATCCCCAGACACTTCTGCTCCCTCCCACACTGGAAGCACTGCAAGCCTGGAGCAGAGAGGAGACTCCAGTACTCTTTAGCATTGGATGCCAAAGCATCTTGAAGCCAAGACGTAGCATCTGTTTCAGCTCCAAACTCTCAGCTTCTAGAACAGGGTGGGCCACACACAGAACACTCAGGTGTTGAGTGAATGAATGGATGAGTGCATGAGTGAATGAAGAAATGCCAGGGCTGTCAGCAGGTCCAGAGTTTACCTCCTAACCTCCAGGCTCCCGTTGGGACCTCTCAACCTTCTCAGGTCACCACCCTTCCCTTTTCACAGAAGTGCATGACACCAGGTGTACCAAAAAGGCAAACTGGACTTTATTATAAAGTTGGCTACAAAGTCACCGCAGCACCACGAGGTGACCACCTGGGTAGTCCCAGGCAGTTGGGCAGCCGGGTGAGTCCCGCACCAGGTACACGCACTCGTGCAAGCACACGTGTGACGGCGGCAGGTCTGCCTTCCTCCATCGGAAAGGAACGTAGCGTCTCTTCGCGCCCCCCACCCCAGGCGCGGGGCGCAAAAGTCACAAGAAGGGCCGCCAGGGCGGCAGAGTCCATCGGAATTGAAATCCCGTTACTGGTGTGTAGAGAATTCTACGTGGGTGTCAAGAGCCCCTCAGGGCACAGGCTGGCCCAGGTGGGCACTGCCTTTCCCCCACCAAGGCCCAGGGGTGGCTTGGCCCCCAGGAGTGGAGAACTGGCCCAGGCCCATGGGGCAGCGCGGGGCGGGGGAAGTGAGACTCCCCCATTCTCCGCTTGAAATCCCATTCAAGGAAACTCACTACGAGTGAATACAGATTGAAATGGAAACTGGGATTGCTTGATGTCTCTAAATTTTAAAAAGAAGCTCCCCTCCCTTGCCCTCCCACCTCCCCCCCCCCAAATCCTGCAGGGCCTGGGGAATTGGATCTATCCCCCTCTGGCCCCCAGAATCCCCCCAACAATCCCGGGGGGGTGGAGAGCGGCTCCATGTCTTGATGACAATATGCCATACTTGACGACGTTAAGTCACAGACTTATTCAAAACGTTGGTTCCCCTCCACTTCCATCTGCAGAGAGAGAGAGAGAGAGAGAGAGAGAGAGACAACAGTGAGTTAGGCCTATTAGGAAATATAGGCTGAGGATGTGGTGCTCTGTTGGCACATAGTACGGGCTTCCAGTACGCTGGTCCAATGACTGAAAGGTCACCAGAGGCTCAGAAGATACGGGAGTAGTTTGGATGAATGGAGTGAAATTATGTCTGTGGTTTTGGAAAGGATGGAGCCATAGCAGGGACACTCTGTCGGGGCCAGGGGCTGAGTCCCACTATCTTTCCCAAACTCCTATAAACTCTCACTCTGTATTCCCTTTGGGGGACAAAGAATACTGAGATAGAGCTCTAATCCCTCTTCCATCAGTTTGTTGTATAACCTCAGGGGAGTTTCTTTAACTTCGGGATCTTGACTGTCTTCATCTGTAAAGTGGGGTGGGGATGGCTGATCTAGGTCCCTCGCAGTTAAGAAACACAAACCATTACCCAAGATTCTCTTGCATCTTATCCCACACTCCTAATCTCTGCCCCCCAGGCCTACTTGTCCAGAACTTCCATATTGTTTTCATTAGTTCTTATCCTAACTGCTATCCTACACAGCAGGTGATGTTATCCTATTAGTGAAACCGAGGAACACAGAGGGCAGTTTACTCATCTAACTCCACCCAGCATCTCATTGGCAGGAGAGGAACTTGAGTTCTTGAACATTTTGGCTCAACTCACCTTCATGGAAGCTGTCTTGAACTTGGCTCTGGAGTTGATGCAACTCATCAGTAAACCCATCATAGGGGAATGCTGAGACACCTGTCTCAAAGGCGGTTTCGTATGTGGCCAGGTCCTCCAGGAAGCTGCTATCTTCTGGGGACAGGTTGTTGTGAGGTGATGGGGCCCCTCCTGGGACTGCTGCCTCAGGATCCTCTGAACTCCATTCCCCATTGGGGTCTGGGGTAGAGAGATCCATGAAGATGTCTTCCACGGGCGTCTCTTCCAGGAATATATCAGGGTCAGCCAGGAAATCCAGATCCTGGCATTTCCAGGGTTTCAGGTCCAGGCTGAGCACAGGGGGGCCAGCTCCTGCCAGGGGAAGGTTAGGGTCCAGGGGCTCCAGCCCTCCAAGTGGCTCTAGCCCAGCTGTGCCAGCCTCTGCTGAGAAGGGCCTGTCCATGCCCTGAGCCAACTGGCTGATCTGCTGGATGAGACGGTCTATCTCATTCTGCTCCTTCTCAGAATAGTGGAAGAAGCTCTGCTTGACTGGAGAGGCCTCAGGTGTAAGCAGGCCTTCGGGCACCAGGGGCACATCCACAGAGAGGGGGCCCCGGAGCTGGGCTAGGGCCAGGAGTGTGCAGTCCCCATTACCAGGGCTGCTAGGACTTGGGGGCAACTTCTCATAGAGAAAACTGCATCCCTCCTGGGCGAAGTAAGTCTTGGTGGGATTAGGGCTCAGTTGCTCTGGGAAAGTTTGGCTGGGGCTGTTTAGGTGTGCTTGGAATGCTGTGCTTGGAGAAGTCACCTGCTCATGGGCAGGGCTGTTCAGAGGCTCTGGGAAGGTGGCAGTGCTGGGAAGCAGCTGATCTGGGAAAGTGGAGGTGCAAGGATCTTCGTAGCTTCTGGCTGAGGTTTCAGTCAGTTGGCCTTGTAGTGGGCTAGTCAGTGGATCTGGGAAAGTTGCACTGCTGGGCGTCAATTGATCAGAGAAGGTCACAGCGCTCGGAGTCAGCTGTTCTTGGAGAGAGCTGGATGGAGTGGGCAAGTGGGTCTGGAAGGGCTCATGGAGGCTGAAGAGGAAGGCACAGCCTCCCGGCTGGTGGGGAGTGTAGGGTGGGGTGCACACAAGATCCTTGCTCAGGTCTGCTTGAAGAGAAGGCTCAGGGCCAGATGGGAATGTCAAGTAACTGAAGCCAAGCTCTTTGGGGGGTCGGGGAAGCTCTTCTGGTGTTGAGACAGCACCCAGCTCAGGAGCACTGGGGAAATTGGTGCTTCGGGGAGGCCCCATGGTGAAGAGTGGATTAGGGCCAGAGCATTGCTCCTGCGAGAGGATGCTCTCCGGGAATGAGGGCAGCATGGTCGGGGTGCCCAGGACATAGGCTGCCTGGGTTTCTTCAGAGTTTAACTGCTGGCGGAGGCTCCAGGCTTCCGTGTCACTGGAGAGGAGAGAAGAGGCAGCCGGTAAGGGTGTGGTGTCCATTCCCAGAGAAGTTCTCTGATTTGTGTCTCCTCCATGTCCACCTCAGCTGCCTCCCAGGCCCCTGGCTTGCAGCTCACCTGATTGGGTAGTTATTGGCAGCAATGGGACCCTCCGGACCTTCTGAATATAAAAGGCAATAAATCCACACCCAGCCTCCAGGCTTGGCCAGCAGTCTCACCACCATCTCTGCTTGAATATCTCCACTCTCAGCCACTGAGGGGAAAGAAGAGATGCAGAGTTAGGACACCCATCAGACAGCACCACCTATTCTCCCCACTCTCTGACCTCTCCACTGAATTGGGGTATTCATGACATCCTCTTTTCTGACTACCTTAACCTGCACCATTCAACTCCCCACTTTGACCTCACCACTCAGAGTCCCCCAGTTCTGATTCTATTCTCACCTTGACTCCTTACCCTAGTGTTCACCCTATAGCATCCAAAGCTGTTAGCCTCTGATATCTCCCCGACATCAGTCTTGATCACAGCCCTTCTTGGTCAGGTTTCCCATGCCCTTTCCCAACTCCCTGTCTTGTCCTCAGCCTCTCTGGACACTCACACAGGCGGTAGTGTTGAGCAGAAGCGTGGCCCAAGTCCTCAGGGTGCAGCAGTCCATACCATGATTTACAGAGCAGTTCACTGCGCTCAAAGCCCAGGTAGATTAGGACACTGGGAAGGTGGAAAGGATGAGGTCAGCTTTCTGTTTTCCCTGCTTGATACCCAGGCATCTCACTCCCTCCCAGGTCTTCTGCACCCTTAGATCCCATCCTCCCTGTCCCTGACTCCAGAATCTAGGGTCCCCTCACCTCTGACCTGCCTTTTCCCTGGGGTCTGAACACTCTGGGCTTACCTCTCTGAGATGTCCAGCAGGGCCAGGTCCTTAGCGTGATGGCTCTGGAACATGGCCAAGAAAAGTGAGGCAGGGCCAGGACCAGGGCCAGGGCCAGGGCCAGGGCGGGGTCTTGTCTCCAGTGGAGCACAGAAAGCTGTGAACACAGGATTTCCTGCCCAGTAGGCCCCAGGTGGGTGAGCGTGGAATCGGCCTCGAATAAGCACCAGTTTGTTGCCTGCACTCTGGCGCCTGAGGGACTTGGAGGTGTTGAAGCGACAGCGGAAGAGGCGATCTAGGTGAGTGAAGAGAAAAACTGGTAAGAGAGTAAATGGCTGAGAGAGATGGCAAATGGGAAGGAGCAGGGCAGCAGGAGGCATATTGGACTGAGGAAAGGAGAAAGGAGTTCTCACCACTATCCAGAGCAGAGGGCAGGGTGAGTTGCTGGCGCACAGTTAGGTGGTCAGCTGGGTCAATGATGTCATAGATACTGTCACCCTGGGCAACCAGGTCCACCTGGAGAAAGGTAAAGGAGAGATGACCATTAATGAAGGCAGCAAGGGCCAGTCCTTGGCACATAGCATCTTGTAGGCTATAACTTCCTCCCCTGTAATTCCCAGATTCTCAAAAGTGGAAAACTCATTGTGTTCCCATCTGTGCTGCAGTCCAAGCTGAAAGGATCCTCAGCACTCACCATGGAGTGGCCCAGATGCTCGCTCACACTCTCAGAGAGATATAGCAGCTTCCCCTCCGCCGTGAACACAAGCAGGAATCCAGGTAGTGCTGCCACTATGTCTTCAAGCTCTTGAGCTGAGAGAAACCCTGTGGGGCCCGCCAGAGGAGTGCCTGCAGAGTGAGAAGATAGGGTGAGTCAGGAGTAAGACTGGGAAGCAAAACAGAAGTGAGAAAGACATGGACCGGGTTTCAGAAAATTCTGAGGAATTTCTCATGGACCTGCTTCTGCACACACCTGTTGACCTGCTGCCCGCAACTCTTGCCCGGGGAACCTGTTGCTGGATCTCTCCAGCCAGCGAGCCCTTCGACTTCTAAGTCGGGGCTGGGGCTTTGGCGGGTCTGTGTTTCAGGACCACGGACAGCACTCCAAAGCCGACCGAGCGTTCAGCACCGCGGGCAGTGCCTTGCAACCCGGTGGTGCTTTCAGCACCGCGGGCAGCGCTCCACTGGCTGCAGAAGAGCCCTTCCAGCATCGTGAACAGCATTTGTGCTTCCCCAGGCTTTGGTGGCTCCATCCTTGTAACTTCCCGGGCTTCCCTCCCCTGGCTCCCCGGAGCGCCTCTGCGCTGGTGGGGACTGGGGCCATTCTGTCCTGGCTCTCCTCTTCCCAGAAGTCTGGCACCAGGGACACTATCCAGTCTCTCTAATCCTCATTCAGAACTAAGGTGAGGTTTGGACAGAACTCAGGAGGAAAAGTGGGAATTCCTGAGTTCTCCTAGTTCCTTCTCACCCCAGCTCGCCGACACGCTGCCCTAGACCTGCGGCAGTCCCAGTGGGTTCCCTCTGCTTCACTCTCCCCGGCGCGCACCAGCTCACGTCTCCGCCCCAGTTTGCTCACCTCCAGCGAAGAAGACGCCCTTGCGAGTGTAGATGCAGGCAAGACTCATGATGTGCAGGTAGGACAGCCGGACCTTGTCCGCTTCGGCCAGCGGCAGCAGCTCCTTGAGGTTCCGGATCTCAGCGTTGATCTGGTCGCGGCGCGCCTTGGAGGCGCCCTTGGTGGAGCGATACATGACTAGCGGCTGCGGAGCTCCAGCTCGGGCGCTCCGAACACCTGCGATCCTGTCCCGACGCACCGATGGCTTCCTCCTTGCTTCCCCGTCTCTCGCTCAGGCTCTTTCTCTCTCTGTCTCCTCTCCTGGGCTCCGCTCGGCTGCGCTGCCCCCCTCGCCTGCCTTGTTCCGCCTTATATAGCTCCTGTCAGGCGTGGGGGGCTCGCTTTAGAGAAAGGGGGGCGGGAGGCTGGGCTAAGCAAGCTGCAGCGGGAGCTGCTGGCTGGGGTTGGGGGGGGGGCGCGCTCCTCCTCCCTCCCAGGCTTCCGACGTCATGCCATGACGTAGAACGAGAGCGGGAGGGGTGCTGGGGGGAGGGGGGAACGCAGGCTGCGGAGGGGGCCGCGGCTGGCGACAGCTGCGCCGAGAGGCAGGCGCTGCTTTAGGAAGGCCTGAAAGGGGGTGCAGGGACCCAGGTATCCTAATGTATTCAGCTGAGGGAAGGGACAGGGCAAGGGTTGGGGCGGTCTGAAGCCCCTGGCAGGAGAGTCTGTACAGGGGCTCGCTCTGACAATGATTTTTCTGAAGAGATAAGGGAAAGGGGAGGAGCAGGGTGGTGCACAAATCCCTCCTCCCTATTTGCCAAGGGTCAAATTCGTCTGGGGCGGGGCGATGGGGGTGGGGAGAAGGACCTTCCTTGGCCTCTGTGGGATAGGTCACAGCTGGGGTTTCTCTCTAGGGACTACTCAATCCGGGATCCCCTTAGTCACTTTCAAAGAACAAATCTCCTCCTCCCCCCTTTCCAAAGCCGGGCCTTGCCGATTTAGCAGGGGGAGGCCGGTGGGGCTCTAAGTCCCTAGGATGGGTGGGAAAAGGGTCCTGAGGGAGAGGAACCAGCTGAATCTGGCCTTGGTTCTACTTTCCCACAGCCAAGAATAGGAACACCTGCACCAACGCCGCAGTCGGCAGTGACTCTTCGTTTCTCTGTCAACTAATTAACCTCAGCCACTGGTGGGGGCAACTGAGGCAGGGTCCCAGGGCCTGGTGAGGATCTGGGTCTACACCAAGGTATCCCTTCCCCCATTGCCAGCCCCCAGAGCCAGGGGCTCCCCCCGCCACCACCCCCATATCCCTCCACCCCCCCGCTCGAGTGCAAGCCTCCGTCTCCCCGCGGGCCGGGGGCGGGGGCGGGGCCGGGGGAATCCCAGCTCCATATTAGGACAGGAATCCTCCGGCGGCTGCTGCGGCGGCGGCAGCGGCGGGCGGGGCCTGGCTGCCTCCGCCACGCTCCGGAGGGCTCCCCCCTGCCTCCAGCGGGGAGGATGGGGACGCAGCAGAGAAGCGAGGGGGCCGTGCTGGACCCTCTGCACGATCCAGGCACCTACCACAGACCCCTTAACTCCGTCGGGCTGCCCACACTCCCCTCCAACCCCCTCCCCGTCATCGGCGGTAGGATTCCTCGCTGTCTCCATCTTCAACTCTCCACATACCCCACACCGCCACGCACCAGCTAGTTTCTTTATCTCATTGCCGGCTTGGTGGTCTATCTCAACTTTGTGCGCCCTCTGCGCCCCCCCCGACAACGTCCCCCTTCTGCTCTCTCTCGTCTCTCTTCTTTGTCAATTTTGTCTCCACATCATATCACTTTGCCCTATCATCTCCCTCTTTCTTCTTGCTCTTTTCTGCATGGATGGTCACTCTCCACTGGGGTTGAAGGGTGCCTTTGTTTCCCCCAAACAAAGGGGAAGGAAATGGGCTAGGGGACATTTTATCTGAAATCGAATTCTGTAGGGTAAGTGTGTGTGTGAAGTCACGTGAGGGGCTGGGGATGAGACCACTTAAAATTTGGGGGAAAGGGATTGGCCTGATTGTAGAAAGCCACGTAGGAGGGGTGGAGATAAACTTTGACACCAGGAAGCAAAATTTGGGGTCTTCACTCCTCGTGGAAAAGGGTGGAAGCAAGAGAGGTAAAGTGGGAGGAGGAGAGACAGCTGAGAAGAAGGCTGTCTAAGAAGGGGGTCTCTGGGGGCCCAATCCTGACCTCTTGTGTATTTTGGCAGAGGTTGGGTCCATCCACCTCAACCTTCCCGTATTCAGTGGCACAGCTGAGATGGAGGGAAGGGGTATGTCTGTCTGCCTGTCTGCCACTATCTCTAACCCTGTTTACCTGGGTGACAGAAAAATGGTTCCTTCAGAAAGCGTATCTCTGTTCCACTTTCATCTCTGTCTGACCCCTGACATACTCACCCACCCCTCGCTCAAGCTTTTGTTTGGACAAGCCCTTAATCTTTGGACCCCTTTCCTGTAGGAAAATCCAGGGCAGTGTTCCTGTTTTATTCACTTATTGGTTCTTTATCCCTGAATGAGAGGCATTCTTAGTGTTCCTCTCCATGACCAGAGGTGCCTGTTGGTTTTGTCCAGCAAGCTGAGCAGAGCCGCGGGGAAAGAATGGGGCACTCACCGCTGTCCGTGGTCCTGAACTATCCCAAGGTATGTCATATGGACCATGGGACGTTAAAGTAGAGCTTGAATCCATACAGGTCTCACAGTGAGGCCCCAGCTGGCTGTACCCTTCTCCTCTGAGAATGAATAAGGGGGTGGATTGTAGGGGGGCAAGATATCTGAACCCTAGGAGTGAAGTAAATGGGGGGGGGGGGACTGGGCTCAAGGGAAGAGCCCTTGGATTTTTCCAGAATGGACTGGCGGGGAAGGCACTCTGGAAGAGAAGAAGGGTCTAGAAAGGGACAAGGGAGGGGGCACAGAAGAGCTCATCCTAGCTCGCCCACTCTGATTCAAGTTGAGAAGCGCTGTATGCCCCAATGTCTTCTCTCCCCAGGCCAACTCCCACACCCCTTGCATCCCACCTCCTTAAAGCTATTTTTAACTGTGGAGAACCAAAAATAGCTTGGCAGCAGCTTCAGTATGTGGGAGAGGAGCTATTTATATCACCAGTGATGGTTCCAAAATAGCAAGCAGAGGAGGGGGGCGGCTGGCACGCTAGAGAGCTCCTGGCCGCTGCTAAAAATACTGGCAGTGTGAGTCATCCTGGCCTGGCTGAGTCACCCCACACACACCTCCCTCCCCCTCCCAAGCAGCAGGCGGCAGCAGCAGAACAGGCTAAGAATTGGAAGTCTGAGAAGAGGGAGGTATTAGAGCCCATTGACTATAGGAAAGTGGGCAAGGGAATGAATTCAGAGGGGGGCCTTGGGGTGAGTTTGTAGAAGAAATGGGGGGAGCAGAAGCCACCCACCCAAACTCTCTGTGTGAGCCTGCAGCATTTCCAGCTATGCACTGCTGCTTGGGGATGCTTGGGCAATTGAAGGGAGGGGGCCAGACTCTGAGAATGTGCGTGTGTGTCTGTCTGTCCCTTTGACCATGACTGTATTTGTAGGTCTCTGTATGTCTGTTTGCATGTGTCTTCATTGCTGTGTGTCTGTATCCCTTTTTATCTATGCATTTGCTTATGCCTGCATCTATGCCTGTCTTTATTAAGAATGTCTATGATTTCCTGTGTTGTGTGTAGTTCTATGTTTGTGCTGGTATGTATTTATATGTTTGCAGCTTTCTGTGTGCCTCCCTGTACACGTGTGTGTTTGTGTCCACGTCTGAGTTGGCTCTGTGCCTTTCTCTCCCAGCACCTGATGGTGTGTGCGGATTTGCTTGCATCCGTAGCCTCAATGCACCTTCTGTTGCTCTCTCAGATGTCACTTGTTGGGCTCTTGCACCATTTATGCCTTAATCATCTCTCTCCACCCAACATCTTCCCTTCTCTCCAGCCCTTGGACCCCAGCAATTTGTGAAGGTCTCTCTGCATGCAATCTCTAGCTAAAAGATGGAGGAAAGGAGCCCCGTATGACCTCTTCCTTTTCTCTTGAACCATCCTGAATTGTCCCTGGCCTGCAGGAGTAAATGGTTTTCCATCACTCCATATTTGGGGAGCTGAGGAAAGAGAAGGGCTTTCTTTAGTTCTAAAAAAAAAAAAAAAAAATTCCTGGTGTGGGCACAAGCATGCGCAGCGCGCACACACACACACACACACACACACAACTGAAAGAGAGAATGAGAGAGAGAAAAAATATCAAGGTCTCTTCTAGACAAGCTCGCATCTGTTGCCATGGCAACCCCACCCACTCCTTCCCCGAAAAATCACCAAGAAGAGGTGATGGCATCAAGGAGGGATTGGCTGATTTATTTCTTTATTATTTTTTCCGAAAAAGGGATTTTTATAGCAAGTACAGGCCGTGAGATCCCTTGCCCCTGTCTTACATGGCTTTACTGGGGACCTGGAGGGACATCACCCCTCAGCCTCTATCAGAGAAGAGAAGGTATATCTTTTCCAGAGATTTCAGGGAGGATGACCTGCTGGGAGGGAGCTGGAGGGTGAATGGGGAGTCTGTTTCTTTAAAACAGCATGGAGACTCCTGATTAAGGCTAATTTTCTGGAGACTTGGGGCAAGGATCTAGACAGAGAGCTGTCAAAGTGTATGCTGTATGGCTCTGGACAAATGTGTCTATGAGAAGGATAAAGAGGGAGGGAGGGAGGGAGAGAGAGAGAGAGAGGGAAAATATGAATGAACGAATGAATGAATCACTTGATGGGACTTCGGAACAGATGACAAGATGCCAAAGGATGCAAAATCTCAGTGGTGATCAGGCCAGACAGATAGACAAGATGGCTCAAGACAGATCCATTAAGGCAGCTGATGGTGCTGCAAGTCACCACCAGACCACAGGTGCAGCTACTTGACTTGGACCCCAGGGAAATTGGGGTCATAGGTGAACAATCTAGAAGAGCATTGAAGCTTACCTTTCCAAACTCTAGTCCCAGCCTGAGTCTCAAATGCCTCCTCTGAAGCCTGGCCACCGGCCACTGCAGCCACATCACTTTCTCAAGTGAACTGTAGCCTCCTGCCAAATGACTGCATGGTGGAAAGGAAGGGATTCCTCATTTCTTCCTGTGCTTGGCTTGCTGCATAAATGGGGTCACTTGGGGCTGGAGACTGGAAAGCCAGACCAAGAATCTGATTCTAGAGAGAAACACCTCCTCCCTTCCAGCGGGCTGCTGCCCAACCTCAGCAGGCAAGGGCATGGCCTGAGGAGGGGGTTAGCTCTACCTGAAGTGATGGAACAGAGGGATGAAAAGACTTCAGATTTGCTCTGACCTGTTAGACCTATTCTCATGCCAAATCAGGTTGATAGTATT